ATTACAGAGTACTGTGTATGTTTGAGGGTGAGTATAGTGGTGTACAGCATGTATGATTCTGATTCTGTGGGCGAATAAGGTGTATGGCCTAAATGGCCTGTCATACTGGTGTTGTAGTTATTCTAGTTACTTACTTAAAAACACACGTAGACCATTACCACAACCACCACACAAGGCTGCTTTCCACCAACAACCACATGTTTTTAATTTTTTTTTCATTCCAGTCTGAAAGGAGCACAAACTGAAAAAAAGGTAAAGTATTCACAATTCCTGGTTAATGGGCTAAAAAAACACAAAACCGCCAGTATGGTCTTTTTAAAGCCCACTGCCAAATAGCACACAGCTTTGGAGCCCCTGACAGTAAATGCTCTGTTTGTGAATACGCCCGGATATGAACTTGACCATAGTTACCAAGCAACACAACCAACACATGCTTTATTTTCTGTCTCAATGCCAGGTATCTACTACAAATCAAACAGTGACACTCACAAAAAAACATATACGCTAGAAGTTCAGGCACATACTTGATGAATGATGTATGAATGATGTATGAATGAATGTCATCCAGAAGTCTTTTACACCTCTGAATGGATGTGGAATGCTGCAATGCTCATTAACAAGAGGGCAGTTCCTACCGTCTTTGTATTCAGAATTTGGTTCTCGGAACACTTTTTCCGAGTGAGTGGAACTGAAACAATTGGTGTGCCACTCTAATCTCGACACTGCTACTGAGCATTGGATCTGGCTGTGTTTGGCAGGCAGTCTCCCCTCGTGGTGTGGCAACCTGCAAAGGCTCGGGTCTCTGTGGCACTTCATGGTTGCCAAAATCTGAAGGAAAGGTCATTTACACTGCAGACACAGTGGGAGAGAAAAACCCAGGTGTCTGCAAGAGACACTGGCCGTGTCATGCTGAAGTTATACATCCATTCTGGATAGCGGCTACTGGGCTGTGAAGCCTTTTCAGTTACTGGTGCGTTGTATTGGCTACATCTCATTTCCTTCCTCTGCCACCTGTGCAGGAGCACAGCTTATCAATGTGCTTTTTCCTGCTCTGTCCCGACTGAATATATGTACTTTTCCATCTTTGGCATGCATACTGATTATATGGTATGTGTGTCTTCACAAACTGCACGAATATACTTGGCTAAAAATCAATGTTACCACACATAATGTGATGAGCTCCAGCAGTTCTTAAACAGCTCTGATTTGATATCAGCTGGGTCATTTCATGCTCGTTCCAGATCACCAACTCATCTAGCGGATAATGCTTTTTTGCTTGAAGTAGATAGTCAAAAGCAGGCAACGGGAAAATGAAAAATGGATGGCAGGAGAGTGCTGCAGAAAATAGAGCACTCCAAACCCCCCAAAGCCTGGCAACAACACCCACACGCTTCCAGATGTCACACCACAAACTTCTAAACTGTATGTTATTAAGAGATGTCAGGAGTCCAAGAAAAGTGTGAAGGAGACATAATGTGTAAAATTCAAATCTGTTTTTTTCTTACTAGTTGCATCTCCATATTGAAACAGAATTTGAGCATGTTTTACAAACAGATACACTGAACAGATCCTCCTTAAATACAGATAAATAACATACTTTTCTTTTTTTCTGATGCAAATATGAAATACTTGTTTTTTTTCCAAAGCATGCATGACATGCCTGCATGATTCTTTCTTTGATTTTCTTTTCTTTTTAAATATTTTAATTATTTATTCAATTATTATTTATTTATTTATTTCACATTTGTTATTGTGCATGGCTTTGTACAGAATTAACAAAGTAAGTAATTCGATTCAACACACTCACACACATAGACATGGATGAAATAAAATTTCAATATAAAAGCTGAGGTGATTTATGCCCCGCCTTGTTCCATTCAAGCCAAAGTGCTCGGCCCTCAGCTTGGCAACGTGTGTCAGCCTACATTAGGTGGACCAGTGAACAATGGTCTCAGCCAGGAGCAGGTGGTTACTTGAAACTCTGAGAGGTGGGTGTGCATTAGTGGCTGTGTGAGTGTGTGTGTGTGTGTGTGTGTGTGTGTGTGTGTGTGTGTGTGTGTGTACAGTACGTGTGTGTGTGACAGAGAGAGGGAAAGAGAGACTGGTCTATCTGCCATCTGGACAATCCCAGGTGAGGCGGAAACTGAAATGTGCTGTTTCTATCAGTTCACTGACTGGCCTCTCCCCTGGATCCAAGCGCTTTTTGAGAGAGGACCCAGTGGTGCCTTGCTATGCCTCTAGTGATGGCACACACCAATTTTGGGAGTGTGAAATGAGCCATTACGAGGTGTGCAGCACCCCCTCTTAAAGTGAATTGACCCAAAATGAGATCAGCAGGCCGAGGCAGGTCAAGTTTATTTATAGTACGCTGTTCACAAACAGATCATTTACGGAAAACAGGGGACGACTTAACGAGTGTGCGTGTGTGCATATGTATAGGCCAGTGCGTTTATGTGAGAGGGTAAACTGGATCTGAGCTTCATAAAATTCAAAAGTCAAGGCAGGTTGTGAGTAATGCTGAGTAAAATAACTTTACTCCATGTCATCATTTTCAAATCAATGTGAGTCAAACTTTTTGACCTGAAAAAGTTACTTGCGGTACGTATTTTTTTATTTTTGTTATGTTGGGGAACACTTCCTGCTCAGCAACTTTAGTTGCTAGACTGACTTGAAGTTATCAGCATAGGTAGGCAACTTCTAATGAGCAAAGTTAATTTTATAAATAATGCATAGGCTGTTTTTAGAAGCCATCTTACAATCAAGCTAAAGATGCAATCTAAGAGAGAGAGAGAGAGAGAGACCCCGTGCCTCTGCCCCAGAAAGTTGACATGAAAGATTAGACATACTGTGATACAGTATGTGATTGTCAAATACATGTTATTACACGAACGATTTCGATAGATTAATAACTAATTCTGTGTTTCATTCACTCAACATATTTGGCCAACATTTTTACAGACAATACCTTATTAATTCATAAAGCCTCTGATTCCGAGCTTCTGATGCCCCTCCAGAGATTAGTCCTGTGATGCCTTACATTCATATACGTACAATAGTTACATAGTTCAAAGCAGTTTTGTGGGCTCTTCGGCTCTATGCTATTCAATTATATCCACGCATATATGCTCATTATAATCCTCTTCCTCTTAAGTTCATGTGGCATCACAAAGCAGTTTGTACTGTAGCGCCTTCTCTCTGATCTAACAACCAGAATGCTTCAAATGACTTAAAGGTTCTCTGGACGATATTCAAAGCATTCATGCAAAGATAAAGATGGAAAGATATAGCGGAGTCATGGCGACCTGAGCAGAGAATGAAGTCTGTCTTCCTCTCTGTATGTTGTAATCCGAGCATCTCTGTGCTTTGTTTACATAGTCGTGCCATGAGTGTAAAATATATCTCTTTCCCAATGAAAAAGTGTAATTCCACTGTTTGGCCACTATGTCAAATTTGCTACAAAGCCCAGCACTCCTCCTGGGAGCTTTGACGAGCGTACCTTTTATTTGCATATTAACGCATGAGAGCGTGCCTCATATATACAGTATATACGTATATATACTATACGTGGTTTTATGATAAACAATTCTAATTCATTTATATATTTGTTCTACTGTCATAGGTAAAATATCCAAATGCTGTTCCTACCCCTTGTTCTCAGTTTTTGAACGTACAAAGTAGACATCGAAATAACCGGGGCAAACATCACATATACCTCAGCCATGAAGTGTACGTCTCTCTGCTACACCGCTGACTCATCAACCCCCTGTACTGTGGAACCTACTCTCACTCTATTTCAGTCTTAACAGCTTTTTTTTCCCCAAAGGGCTGTAGACCGCTTCCACCCTCTGTCCCTTACACCTTCACACCGTCTTGTCCCATCACATCCCACCTCACCTCTCCACCCCTCTGATTGTCCTCCGCAAGACAATCTTCAGAGCTCAGGCAGTTGTCAACCTCAATACTTCACAGCCCTGTAACCTGGATCATCACTATCAACAGAGCAGCAAGCAACGCAACATATACTGTAAGTTACCCAGTTCATGTGGAAGGACAGCTCACACCCAGAAGCACGTTTGCATGCTCTTTCTCTGTTTTGAATTCTGAGCCCATTCCACTTGTACACTGCAAAAAAATGATTCAGCTTGTCTCTCAGGTTGCAACCGTGGTGTGGCTGACAAGAAGAACGTCCATTTGAGATCCTGTGAGCGATGGATTCCACACCATATTTGCAGGCACTAAAATCACACTCAAATAGCTGAAGCATTTTCAGGTTTTGCAGTTGCTGATGCAGATAAGTGACATGAGGCTTCCACATAACCTATGCACACTCTGTCATAAGTAGCTACTGAATGAAATTCATCCCTTTTAGTTTGGGTTTATAGGAGAGGCATTTGCGCAATCCTTTTCAGCTTCCCACCCCCCCCCCCACAAGCTTTATTTTTTTGTTTATGTAGGTGTGTATAAGTGTGCAGGTGGCTATGTATGAAGATGCATCTTTATGTATTTCATAGCTATATTTATTTTACTGTGCAAACATATAAGATACAACTAGAATAAATGCAACAAGATATAATATAATTTGAACTATCCGGAAGGAAACTGTTGTGCAGCAGTTGCAGTACAAAGTAGGAAAGTGATCAAAAAATACAAATCCCATTTTTCCCAAAACAGTCCACTTTAGGGATTTTACACACATTTATGCCAATAAATTGGGCACGCTTTTGTCTTATTTAATGGAAAAGGGTGTAAACCATAGACTGTATAAAAGGTGTAAACTCATCCCATTGGGCCTATTTTTCAGTTCAGACTTTTAAACACTCAGCGAGTCTACAAACTAGTTGAAATTGATATTTTTTGCAGCATGGCTCAGTCGCTGAAGCCCCCACCCCCCCCTCCACGCCCCCACGTCGGTGAGCCTCGGGCCTTCGCGATTGGTTCACCTTTCATGTCCGTCAAAGCTGTGTGGGCGGGACTCAAACAATCCACTCGTGCTCCCTGCGCTGTGGATTGTGCGCCACAGCAGACCGAGAGCGGGGCAGACAGTAGTACGGCAGCGGCAAGCATCTACTCTGTTACCGGAGGACGACTGCTCTCAGCCTCTGGGTTTTTACACCGCTGTTATTCACTCCTGCAAACTGAGCCCACACGTTACCGCTGTTGCATCCCGGCACGTTGCTTTTTGAAGAGTGAGACACGTTTCCACAAGCGGCACAGGCTTGTGCCAAACCCCGTTTTCCCAGAGACGCACAAAAGACGCACGTCCCAAGTCCACCTGGATAGCCGACAAAAAGCCGTCCGGTCCGCTTCGAGGTCCAGCGGGGAGACGCGAGGAGAAGTTAGCGCGGAAAGGCAAGAAACAACGACAGGACAGGATGAATCTCAAGAGTCATTTGATTTTCACCCTCTACACTATTTATGGGATTCTTCTGAAAGGTGAGTCTGGGGCGAGGTGGTGCGCACATGCGCTTGTGTTTTCTGTGTTCAGGCCACGCGCGCAAGTTACAGGCCAACAACAGGGCAGGGTAGAGGGGCAGCAGGACGCGCGGCCACACGCGGGTCCTAGCTGAAAGGTGCGGAGCTCTCTCTCTCTCTCTCCCTCTCTCTCTCTCTCTCTCCCTCTCTCTCTCAGGGTTCATGCGTGTCTGTGCCTGCACGCATGTGGACGTGCGTTGAATGTGCGTGCGTATGCAAACGTGCGTGCTGTGTGAGACAGCTAGAGGAGAGAGAGAGAGAGAGAGAGAGAGAGAGAGAGAGAGAGAGAGAGAGCTTGTCCAGTAACATTCGGAATGTTAATGTTCAGGAATAATTATTTTCACAATTGTACACGACAGACAGTGCAGCCATTCAGACTGATGCGTCTCCTGCGTCTGCAATTCTGTCCTGTGCGTGAGTGGCAATGAAAAAATCTGAAAAATGAGCCCGCTAGGAAGACACACCTCAACATGAAGTAACCAACCCGCCGGTTGTTTTTGACTTGCAGCACTTGGATGAGTCACAGAGAGACGCTGGCACCGTTTTACGCACCGGACAGTTTGATGGAGCTGATCGCAGCCATGCAGAGCATTTTGATTCCACATTTCTGTTGTTGTTGTTTTCTTTTAGGAATGTTTGACTTCCGTTTCTTCTGTGCAGGTGTGGCGTCTGTCGCTATTGCGCACATTCATCTGGTGTTGTTGTGTGTCTGCATGGCAGTTTTAACGGAACTGCCAAAAACCTTAAAATGAGTTGTATGAACCGATTGAAACGTTCTCCACTTCAATTCTGAACGTTTGAATTTCCGGTATGACAGCTGGTGATATTAAGGTTTTTATCTTCCTCTCAGATGAATCCTCATATTGCCGATATTCACAACACTGTACCAGGGATATGTGTTCACGTTTTAAGATGAGAGTCAATTTGGGCCAAGGCTGAACTCAATTTGGATCAATCAATGAGAATATTATTGTGATTTGGAGACTATTTGTCATAATTACGATAAACAGCTCCCCACAGAGGACTCGACTGTAAACACCAGATTAAGGTGCCATTGGGGGTCAAGGTCACAGTGAGTTGGGCGGCATGTTTGTAAGACAGTTTAATGTATTGTATAGGCATATGCATTAAAGTGGAACTAAAATAGACAAATGGCCGTGAAATAACATCAATTCAAATAAAAATGAGCGTTTTCTATGCTTGTCATTGTGTTCTCTGAGTGTCTTGAACAGATACATGTGTCTTCATATCAAATCTGTACGACCCAGTGGTATTCTATGTGATAATTTCTAACCACAAAGCGCACTTAAATACAGTGTTGGGTACTGGATGGAAGTCTGATCTTTTGGCGAGCAAAGGGAAGTAAAATTACATTAATTTATGTGAGAAGTCTTGAATTTCTGGACAGCTACATTCAGGCTGTGTTGAACAGTGGCAGGAGGGTGATGGATTCGCTCCAAAACAACTGTCAGTCTAACAGCAGGGCCACATATGCCACGCTGAGCTTCAGGTTTGTCATATAAAGTCCACTTCATCCCACTCGAATCATATCAAGATGCATTTAATATATCAGAACAGATTCATCAAAATGAAAGTCTTGACTTTAACTGCTGTTTGTTTTTATCCACACGAGTAAATGAGAAATCCCAAATGAGATCATTTGTGCTTGATTCCCTTGATCATTTGTTGTTGTCTCTTTGAAGTGGTCGTGTGTGTGTATGCATAGAGAGAGAGAGAGAGAGAGAGAGAGAGAGAGAGAGAGAGAGAGAGATAGAGAGAGAGAGAGCAGTCCTTCCTCAGTAACCAGACATGATTAAGGCCGTTCTTGACTTAATGAATTGATATGTAATGGTGTATCTTATTAGGGTATCTGCTATATCTTACAGCTCGCACCACCTCATTTATTGACGTAACAGGGCCCTTATTTTCCTCTTTATTCTCATAAGGGTGGCACACTCATTATGAGTGTGTGTGTTTTGGGCGTGCATGTTTGCATAATATCCCTGCGAATGTGTGCCACGTTTGTTTAGCTTACGTCTGAAGAGGCCTAAGCAAAGACATAGCTGTAGTGGTTACAGCAGAGAGTGCATGTCGGGCTCATTTCATGTGTGGCTCCCCACCACACACCCTCACATCAGTCTCTCTGTCTCTCTCTCTCTCTCTCTCTCTCTCTCCCTAACCCTGAAGAGGATAATGCTAGGCTGCTTGATTTGAACAGTCATCTCGCGGCGCGAGGCCTATTATTGTATAGGTTCCACACAGCGGGCAGGTCAGCCTCCCCCTGAATGAAGTCTATCTAGCCGAAGCCGCATCCGTGCGCTCTGTAAATGACAGCTGTTTCAGCCCCTCTGGCCCGGTGCCAGCTGGCATCAAGAGATCCAGACACACTGCATCTCTCTGTCACTAGACTAGACCTGCGCGCCGTATATAGTGTGAACGTGAAGCTCTGCGATGGAGGTTGTTGTTTACCAACAGCCCGAGTTGTTAACATATTATATCCAGTGTGTCACATGTGCCCATGCCGGAGCCAGAGAAAAAGACGCCTGTTATGCAAATGTGCCTCTTACGTAAGAGCTCGGGGCTGAGCAGCAGACGAGGGGAGGGGGGGGATATGGGAGGCAAGAGAGCGACGGAGAAAGCGGGAGATGTTCTAGAATAGAGAGAGTTGATGTAAGAGTGATGTGGGAGGAGAGGTGTGGAGGAGGAATGTTCATCTCCCCAGCTAAAGTCTGTGATATGTGCTCTGGTTGTTTGCTGTTTGCTGATGGCTCGTCTCCGCCGCTCTGTCTGTTTCCTGGTAGTCTGTCAGTTTTGAACTCTGATCTCGCTAGCCTAAACACAAACCCCCGCTGAGGGTTGTGTTTATCCCCGCAGTGAGTCTAAGCTGCTGAAGGCTGACCCTCCATCCCTCTGTACTTCCGTCCATTCCTCCCTCGCTGCATCCTCCCGTCCTGGTGTGGGAGCTTTGTACCACAGCAGCGTGGGAAAGCTTCTGATAACAAGCGGCCTTGTGTGCGTGTGTGTGTGTGTGTGTGTTTACTTGCAGAGCCACTGATTACACGAGATGTTCTCTCTTTCCTCGCTCACTTGCGCTCACCCTCCGACTTCTGTGCATTTTTGGGAGCATCTTCATTTTCACGGACACGCTTTGACAGGTAGAACATGAGAGGTGCGCTGTACCTGAAACCGATGCCATGAAGCTTCAATGCTGAGAATCCTCAGTAGAGCAGCCCTGGCTCAATGAGCATCACACAGACACACACACACACAGACACACAGAGCTGGCTCCGCTGTGGATTCATTGCTGCTCTGCCAAGGGATTTCCCATGATCAAAGCCAGTCTTTTGTTAGTCCAGGTGTTAAAAAGTTAAAACAGAAAGGAGGAGGAGGCTGGAGGGGAACGTGGACGGATTCAGAGCTCACAGGTTTTTCCGTGGCAAAGCAGAAATGTGCCTCTGCCGAACGGCTCGTGAGACACTTCCAGTGAACCTGCCACCTGCTCCAACTCTTTCTCATATTGGTGCACATATTTGGCGCAGGTTTTTGCTTCGGATTGTACAGATATGACCAGTTAAATACAGACGCTGTTTCAGCGTGTTTCGACATAGGGATGAAATGAGGCAGGAGGAGGAGGCAGGCGGCCAGTAATTGTTAAGCTTTAATACACATGTATTCGCAGATGGTAGAGATTCACAAGTGGCAAAAAAACGGAACCTAGCAAGACACCACGTAGGAGTGCAAAGTTCTAAAGCTTCATGCAAATGTATTATGGCGTGCGCAGCTCTGCTCCCAAAGGAGCCGGTGGAAATCTCCGAGGCTTTTTTTTTTACGAGTCTGCAAAATAGGATGCGCCCCAAACTGAATGATGCAGCTGCCAGACAGATCGGGTGTCACTGTTATATGGTACCAGTCCAGTAGTGTTAGGTATGGAAAGATAAGAAAGATTTTACCAAGCAAATATCCCCCTTAAAAAGATAAAGAACAGCAGTAAATTAATTTATATTTTAAGCTCAAGTAATCTAATCTAATCATAGGCCTACTCCGAAAACATCTTCCAAAACGGAGCCCTATAAACTCTTGTATATCCTTATTGCTGAATATCCCCACAGATTCAGCTTCTCTGGGAACACAGCTGCTGAGGTTTCATAACTTGCAGGTCTCCGGGTCTTTTCATTGTGTCGGCCCACACATGCACTACCGGAGCTTTAGAGCAGTTACTCACCTTACTGAATGCTGCAGTACAGAGCTTTACTGATCCTGGTAAATTGGCAGTGATGGCAATGACGCACCATCACGAGTGGTTGCAAAAAACGTCACATTTAAATGGCAGTAATTCTAATCAATAGCATATTATTTTAGCCACAGCGACGGGTATTATCTTCTAGAATCCTATTGTGGTGACGCAGTGAGGTGGCTTCCTGGTTACAGAGGCAGAAGATGTCACCAACAGGTTACTAATCCGCAAATTAATATTTTTGCAGAGAATCAATGCAGAGTAAATTTAGATTTTTTTTTTATTTTGGCATCAAGGCTGCGTTTCATGTGTCTTAGGCACAGTGGGATTTTTAAAAGCCAGCCCAAAGCGAGAGAAGGGAGAGATGAAATACAGCCTCCCATGGAGAACGGGGAGGATACGAGCCCACAGGTGGATTCGACTGCTACGTTTGCACCCAAAATAGACCTCCCAGTAGGTGAAAGAAGTGTGCAAAATCAGCTAACATATCCGCTGATGGGGGGCTTTTCTTCAAGGTTAACCCGTAGCTATTTATGTATTCTAGACAGAATATGAACTAATGTGCCGCTATCGATGTCGGACTTTTGTGATGATAATAAAATACCTTTCCAGTTAGAAAAGAATGCTGGAGGTTGCATTGGTGTTCACTTTTATGTATGGCGAGCTTACCCTATGCTGTGAACTATAGCACTGATTTGATATGGTGCATCATTTTCATGGAGAAACT